CAGTCCTGGTACAGACACCAGAGCTAACGTACGCTAACGCTGTCATCCACAGGGCGCTAACCTCCAGGGCGTCAAGATGCTATGCTCCAACGCCGAGGGAGCGTCTCTGAGAGGATGCAACTTCGAGGATCCGTCCGGACTGAAGGCCAATCTAGAAGGTTCTCTGCCACCACAGTCCAGGTCCCCGACGCTCGCTAACGGACGTCCCGCTAAATGTCAAATGTGTTGTGACGCAGGTGCTAACCTGAAGGGAGTGGACCTGGAAGGAAGTCAGATGACGGGGATCAACCTGCGGGTGGCCACCCTGAAGAACGCCACGCTGAAGAACTGCAACCTGCGGGGGGCCACGCTGGCCGGGACGGACCTGGAGGTGACGTTACATCGCCGTTACCATTTATTAGCGGCGTCGTACCGATAAGCGCCACTAGAGGGCGCCACATTCACTTACAGTTTTATAGTAGAAATTGATTTAAAATCTCTAAAATTTTAAGTCTGTCCCTCTCTGTCCTGTCCCCATTTTTTGTCCCCCGGTCCCCCCTTTCGTAGAACTGCGATCTCTCCGGCTGCGACCTGCAGGAGGCTAACCTTCGAGGCTCCAACGTTAAAGGAGCCATCTTTGAGGAGATGCTAACTCCGCTGCACATGTCCCAGAGTGTCAGATAACTGTGGACGGGGACCGAGACCGAGGCCACGCCCCCCTCCCTCGCCGACCAATCACCAATCACCCGGCGCCCCTCCCCCCCCGGAAGGTTCCGTTGACGTAGAAATACCTTGCACTATAATTTATCCAGGGTTGTTGTTGTTGTTGTTGTTGTCGTGTAACGTGTGATGTCATCGCATCGTAGTATTTTTTTTTTTTTTTTATATCGCGAATGTTAACGTTAAAGTTTGCGTCCGATCTCATGGAGGTGAACCATCGACTGAAGCCACCGGAGCTGTTAGCTAGCACATGCTAACGGCTCTGCTAACCGCCAGAGCGCGGGTGGTCGGAAAAAATTTGCGAATGTACGATCGGTTTCTCTGTTTAGTGTTTGTTTTTGTTTTTTTTTTTTTCGCGACGCGCGACATTTTCTTGATAAGCAACGTAAGCCAAAGCAATACGACAGCACGGTGGGAAGGACTGAGACCAGGTGACATGAGACCAGGTGACAATGTAACTATGTGACCAGGTGACAATGTAACCATGGTGACCAGGTGACATAAGACCAGGTGACTATGGTGACCATGAGACCAGGTGACCATAAGACCAGGTGACCATGAGACCAGGTGACCATAAGACCAGGTGACCATGAGACCAGGTGACATGAGACCAGGCGACTATGAGACCAGGTGACATGAGACCAGGCGACTATGAGACCAGGTGACATGAGACCAGGCGACTATGAGACCAGGTGACATGAGACCAGGTGACAATGTAACTATGTGACCAGGTGACAATGTAACCATGGTGACCAGGTGACATAAGACCAGGTGACCATGAGACCAGGTGACCATTAGACCAGGTGACCATGAGACCAGGTGACCATAAGACCAGGTGACCATGAGACCAGGTGACCATAAGACCAGGTGACCATGAGACCAGGTGACATAAGACCAGGTGACCATGTGACCAGGTGACCATGAGACCAGGTGACATGAGACCAGGCGACTATGAGACCAGGTGACATGAGACCAGGCGACTATGAGACCAGGTGACATGAGACCAGGCGACTATGAGACCAGGTGACATGAGACCAGGTGACTATGAGACCAGGGGACATGAGACCAGGTGACATGAGACCAGGTGACATGAGACCAGGTGACTATGAGACCAGGGGACATGAGACCAGGTGACAATGTAACTATGTGACCAGGTGACAATGTAACCATGGTGACCAGGTGACATAAGACCAGGTGACCATGAGACCAGGTGACCATAAGACCAGGTGACCATGAGACCAGGTGACATGAGACCCGGTGACCATGAGACCAGGTGACCATGAGACCAGGTGACCATTAGACCAGGTGACCATGAGACCAGGTGACATGAGACCAGGCGACTATGAGACCAGGTGACATGAGACCAGGTGACTATGAGACCAGGGGACATGAGACCAGGTGACATGAGACCAGGTGACAATGTAACTATGTGACCAGGTGACAATGTAACCATGGTGACCAGGTGACATAAGACCAGGTGACTATGGTGACCATGAGACCAGGTGACCATAAGACCAGGTGACCATGAGACCAGGTGACCATAAGACCAGGTGACCATGAGACCAGGTGACCATTAGACCAGGTGACCATGAGACCAGGTGACCATGAGACCAGGTGACATAAGACCAGGTGACCATGAGACCAGGTGACATGAGACCAGGTGACAATGTAACTATGTGACCAGGTGACAATGTAACCATGGTGACCAGGTGACATAAGACCAGGTGACTATGGTGACCATGAGACCAGGTGACCATGTAACTAAGTGACTAGGTGACCAGGTGACATAAGACTAGGTGACCATTGTCACCTGGTCACCATGGTGACCAGGTGACAATGTAACTATGTGACCATGAGACCAGGTGACACGGTTCCATCTACCTCTAAGTTTTTTTTTTTCCAAAGAGCAGAGCGGGGGGGGGGGGGGGGGGGGGGGGGGGGGTTGGCCCAACTCCTCAGTGTTATCCTCATCCGTGTCATACTTCATCTGCTCCACAGATGGCGCCGTCACTGACTGACAGTTAGGGAAGTCTAAAGGTCACGAAGGTCGAGCTCACGGACCATCGACCACAGCTTTAACTAGAACTTTATTTTTCTACACGTACTTGTGTGTGTGTTTGTGTATATTTTACTGCGTACTCTGATGTACTCTGATGTACTCTGATGTACTC